AGTTTTTTAACACATTTGCATTAGTATCATATACAAGATATGTACTCAAGATATTCACTGAACAAGATATGCAGTTACTAGTACTCAAAATATTCACTGACTAGTACCTGCCCTCATTAGCTAGCCACTTAGTTCCTGTATTCTATTCAATTACTCAATTCAATTAGTCAATTCAATTAGTCAATTCAATTAGTCAATTATGTTAGACCTTTAAATTTAGTCTATTTAACGAGTCATTAAATTAGTCTATTTAATTATTCAATTAAATTAGTAAATTAAATTAGTCACTTATGCTAGGCGTTTAAATTAGTCAATTTAATTCGTCTATTCAATTAGTCAATTAAATTAGTCATTTATATATAAAAACGTTGCATGAATGACTTCTCGTTCGATTTGATTTATACAGATGGCAAACTTAGAAGCTAAGTTACAGATAGGTTTTTATATTAACTTTTGCCTCAAACTTTCATAACTACGATTCGCTATTACATTTGTTGTATTGATTAAATTTCCAGACAGATTTTATAATTTGTTGTAGTGCTTTCAGGGTTGCAGTGCCGTGTACAAAGATCAAATCAATCACTGGTAAAACAGCGTTAAGTTAGCCCTTATAAAAAATTATCACAGACAAAAGAAAAGAAACCTAGAAACAACCACCGAGTGTGGGAGTCGAGTGACTCGCCGCTAACTGCTGCTAAGCGTCATGTACGCTACTAATGCCACCAACAGCAGAGACGATGGCGACTTGGTGTGGGCTGGGTTCGAACCTGAGTCTAGCATGGTGGAGCGGCTTGCCTTGCACATCTCACCTTCATCTGTAACAGTAAACAGCAGGTTCAGATATGTAACTAGGTTCATAGACAGTAGGTTTAGATATGTTACTAGGTGCATAGACAGTAGGTTCAGATATGTTACTAGGTTCATAGACAGTAGGTTCAGATATGTTACTAGGTTCATAGACAGTAGGTTCAGATATGTGACTAGGTTCATAGACAGTAGGTTCAGATATGTTACTAGGTTCATAGATCTAGACAGTAGGTTCAGATATTTTACTAGGTTCATAGACAGTAGGTTCAGATATGTTACTAGGTTCATAGACAGTAGGTTCAGATATGTTACTAGGTTCATAGATCTAGACAGTAGGTTCAGATATGTTACTAGGTTCATAGATCTAGACAGTAGGTTCAGATATGTTACTAGGTTCATAGATCTAGACAGTAGGTTCAGATATGTTACTAGGTTCATAGACAATAGGTTAAGATATGTTACTAGGTTCATAGACAATAGGTTCAGATATGTTACTAGGTTTATAGATCTAGACAGTAGGTTCAGATATGTTACTAGGTTTATAGATCTAGACAGTAGGTTCAGATATGTTACTAGGTTTATAGATCTAGACAGTAGGTTCAGATATGTTACTAGGTTTATAGATCTTGACAGTAGGTTCAGATATGTTACTAGGTTTATAGATCTAGACAGTAGTTTCAGATATGTTACTAGGTTCATAGATCTAGACAGTAGGTTCAGTTATGTTACTAGGTTTATAGACAGTAGGTTCAGATATGTTACTAGGTTCATAGATCTAGACAGTAGGTTCAGATATGATACTAGGTTCATAGATCTAGACAGTAGGTTCAGATATGTTACTAGGTTCATAGATCTAGACAGTAGGTTCAGATATGTTACTAGGTTATATATATATATATATATATATATATATATATATATATATATATATATATATATATATATATATATATATATATATATATATATATATATATATATATTCTTACGGGGGGGGGGGGGTGATACCATCAGGTGCCGCACCGGGTACACCCGACCTCGCTACGCCACAGCTTTCAACTACATTCCCCCCCCCCCCCCCCCTCATCTCTAACCTTTTATATAAATCTAAAATAGAGCTAAGATAGTCGGATGCTAATGTACAATGTTCCATCAAAAATAGAAATTTATTTGGGCTAAATGGAATATTTCTGAAATCTATTAGACAGATTCCCAATTTATCTTATAGTTAAAAGGGTATTGCGAAATGTACAGAGCCTTTTGTCAACATGGTTGGATCATAAAATGAAACTAATAAATGGGTGGGTGTTGGGGATGTGGAGAGTGTTAGCGTTGGTGTGTGTGTGTAAATGTGAAATATGTGCTGTGGGTGTGTTGTGTATTATGGGGACATTTAGGACATGGCGAGTTTAGGACATGGGGAGTTTAGGACATGGGGTATTTAGGACATGGCGAGTTTAGGACATGGGAGTATTTAGGACATGGGGACAGATTTTTTTTTCTTACCACATAAAAAAATTATCTGTGCGCAAGTCTCAACACTTAAATAATACACAAAGATTCATCTAAAAACAATATATTTTATTTTCAATAATTTGAGTACAACATAAATGTAAAAACAATCAAATGAAATTAAATGCAGCCACAATCTGAAAAGTTGACTTGAAATTTTAGTGATTACACATATTTTAACGAAAGGTTCATTGTTATGGTTAAACGTTAGCGTGTAACTATACATTCACAGCCACCCTCAACCTCAATGTTTAAACGATGTAAATATATTCAAAGGAGAACTGTACAAAGACTATGTTTGTGTGTGTGTAGCTAATGAAGGCTATTTAATTTTGTAAAATCAACCATAAATTCGATCAAACAAATGGAGTCTAAAAACATTTTTTCACCCATCCCCCCCCCCCCCCCACCCAAATTCAAAGTTCTAGTGAATACATGACCTTTTAAATTTAGGGACGTCACCATGATGGGTGCAACGGGGTCTGCCCCCCCCCTTCCTCCGCCACGCATTATGACAATTTGATGTAATCTCACTAAAACGAGCAGCCCAGCACCCACATAGACATATTTAAAATGTTCAATTTGTTTTCTCTCAGATTTAACAGTACTGTTATATTTTTTAATGACATCACAGAAATTAGTTTGACGTCTCTTGTGTTTTTAACATCTCGTGCATATATAAACATGTCGAACGCGAATGTTAAAATAACCAAGTTGCACATGTAAATATGTTGTCAGACGTTGAAACAGTCGCCCCTAAGGTATCAATGAAGCAAACATCCATCTCTTTACTACAGCAACGTGTCCGTGTATTACAATACAATATTTTCATACAAGTAAAATACGTTAGGATTTCTAGTAAATAAATATTTTTTTTCAAATAAAAATTCTTATCTATTAATCAGAATACATGTATGTTTTAATTCGATGTCGCATACTAATCAAAGTGGATTAAAGAATGAATCACTGTGAAGAGATTTGGCCCAGTTTATCAATGAAATCTATCAATGAAATATCTCTCGGTATTTTACTTCAGTGAACAAGTGAGTGAGTAAATAAACTAGGGCCATATGCTCACCTTCGTGCTAGTTCTAACACAAGTCACGTGTCTAGGCGACCAGCAACAGATGTGTGATGACAGATACGTCAGTCACACAAAAATTTGAAAGATAGATGACGGACTTGTCATACGACATTTGCACGGTGACAGATCATTATCAATCAGATACGTGCATGATGACAGTGTATTTACATTTCACTGTATGATAACAATTGAGGTCGACGATACTACTTCATTCAAGTCACCAATTTATGTGGCAGACTTACAAATCAATGCATCTAAATCAGCGAATGTGTTGGTAGACCAACAAATCAAAACATTGACGATGTATAATTGGTAATTATCTGTTGTCTGATTAATGAACACAGTCATTCCGTTAAGACACATTCTGAATTCAGGTAAACACATTAATTATTCATTAATTATTCATGCATTAACATTATTAATGAACCATAATTAATTTTATTTTAAATGGTTAGTTATGCAAAACTTAATAATTGTATTGAAACTATTAATATTCTTTATAGTATGCTTCCTAAAATTACTTTGAAAAATTATTTACACTAAAAATTGTTTTAAAACTTGTCCAGTTAACTAAAGCTCTAAGCAATTAACATTTTAACACATATCGATTTTTAAAAAATTATACCAATGATTTGTATACCCTTATTTTTGCTATTCTTCAACCATGAACAAAAACTCCGTATACGCCGAAAAAATACCAAACCATTTGGAACTACAAAGATAAGTACAAATTAGATCTAGTAGTAAGCTGCTAAGCGAAAATCTTAGCCACGTATTTTTGTAACAAGCGTGTTATTGTGCTTGTTATTATGTACATAATTTCAGATACTTAAAGGTTTTGTAGCTATCAGGCTCAAGGGTCACTAGGCGCATAAAATGGTGGTCACTAAGGCCTATTGGTCACAAGGCTCTTGTGGTCACTAGGCTCATGTGTCCCTAGGCTCAAGTGGTCAGTAGACACTAGTTGTCTCCAGGCCCTAATAGTCACTAGGCACCATGAGGTCAGAGTTCAGTGGTCACTAGGCATCAAAGGTCAGTGGTCACTAGGCACCAGAGGTCAGTGGTCACTAGGCACCAGAGGTCACAGTTCAGTGGTCACTAGGCACCAGAGGTCAGTGGTCACTAGGCACCAGAGGTCAGAGGTCACTAGGCACCAAAGGTCAGTGGTCACTAGGCACCAGAGGTCAGAGTTCAGTGGTCACTAGGCACCAGAGGTCAGAGGTCACTAGGCACCAGAGGTCACCGTATGGATTTGTCACTACAACAACAAAAACAAAATTATTCTGAAAATTCCAAGAATGTAAAGCTGCCAATTTTTTTTTGTGTTCACAGAAACAAAATGGTTGTCTACTTTAGTTTAATGCATGATATCAAACCTCCCCACCCCCCCACCCCCATCCATCTCCTCCCCCGCCCAACCTTTTCCCCCCAACAATTCCAAAATAAATTCCAATACACACACAATACAAATTCAAATGATTATTTTGCCCCACTCATAAATGAAACGAAATGTTTGTGCAGTGCCCGGTCTCCCCCCCCCCCTCCCCACCCCTTCACTGCCTTTCTCCCCCACCCCCTCAAGGCCTCCCCCACCCCCTCAAGGCCTCCCCCCACCACAGCTCCCCATACGCCGCTGGTAGTTCTGCAGAAAGTCCTCGAACTGATGTTTCCAGTCCACGATGTACTTGGTCTTCCACTCATTGAACTGGATCTTCCACTCCATCTCAGCTGTCGACATGTTTTCTGGGGGAGGAAAGCAGACAGTTACATGTTTTCTGGGGGAGGAAAGCAGACAGTTACATGTTTTCTGGGGGAGGGGGGGGGGGGAAAGCAGACAGTTACATGTTTTCTGAGGAAGGAAAGCAGACAAAGTTACATGTTTTCTGGGGGAGGGGGGGGGGGGGAAAGCAGACAGTTACATGTTTTCTGGGGGAGGAAAGCAGACACATGTTTTCTTGGGGAGGAAAGCAGACAGTTACATGTTTTCTGGGTGAGGAAAGCAGACAAAGTTACATGTTGTATTGGGATGGAGGGGGGGGGGGGTGAAGAAAGTGACAAGATAATTATTTGCCTAAATTAAATCTAATTAGCCAATGTTTATGTATTGTACTGTTATATACTAGCTATCCACATAGGTAATCTTCTTTTCGTGCCCAAGACACATGGGGCAGATAAAGTAGAGTTCATCTGTTTCAGTGACTCCGGCGTATGAAGGGATAGTGTGGTCATCACTATGCCCAGCCGCTTTCATTTCCCCTAACGAGTACCCATCAGAGCTGGGTGGACTCAGGGACGTTCTTCTGTTGGCCCTTTACATACATTCGCAACATAACGTTTGGAAGGCTATAGGGTTGAATACTTCGAATGACATATTGCATAAAAGAAAGAACGTGTTTATCTATTTTTAAAAAAAACTGCTGCTATTGGTACTTGTCTTGAGGTGCTTCTCTCTAATTGCATCTACTGGAGCAGATTAGTATATAGTTTTAAATAATGACTGCAAACGATTCAAATTGAAACACTTCAGGGTGCTTTAAGTATTTGGTTATGTTTTGGGTTTAATTAGCAAGCAATTCAACTTTTTAGAACAATTTACGAAATCAAGAATCATTCGAACATTCGAAAAAAAAAAATGTTACGTAGGTTAGATATAAACAAAACCTACTTACCTGTTTGTATGGTTAGACTGCTGACATGCGCAGAAGGATGTTTCGGGAAAAACTCGTGCGGCGTGCAAAAGTAAGCAAGGCGGTATTGGTTAGAGAGTATGTTATTTTCATGCTCGCTGTTGAACTATAGGATGGTGCTCAAACAGGAAGTGAGGGTAGGAGTGTGGAATTGGAGGGTTAATTCCGTACAGCGTGCTAGAGCATGCAATAAGATTTCTGACGGTTGTTTTATAACACTTCGGTGGTAGGTGGGCTTTGTTATAGGGGTTATAGGGATGTACAGATATGTTGTATAACACATCAGGGTTCGGTGGGGAATGTTATATAATATGTGGTATGTGGCTGTATGTGTTATATCCAGTCAGTGGTTTAGAGATCTAGTGAAGAAATAGCAGATAATTTACTGCACAACTGATGTGAGTTTCTTTTGGTGAGAGAAGGTATAGGGGTGGGGGTGGGGGTGGGGATGGGGGTGGTCCTAGTGATGTTATAAGCATGTTACACAATGTATGTGTTGTACAATATGTACAGGATGTACTCCATATTGTATATGGGAGTATTGCATCAGGTATTGCGGTAGGGATAGGGTAAGCCTTAGGGGTAGAGAGGGGGTCATGTTAGTGTTAAGGTTATGGTTAATGTTAGGGTTAGGGGCTAATGTTAGGGTTATGGTTAATGTTAGCGTTAGGGTTAGGGGCTAATGTTATAGTTAGAGCTAGGGTTAGGCTTAGAGTTAGGGGCTAATGTTAGGGTTTCGGTCTATGCTTCAGAAGAAAGTAGGAAAATTTTAAATTAAAAATTGAAACATGTTAAATGCAGTCAAATGTTTAGTATTGCGAACACCTGAAGCCTACAGTGAAGTGTGGGGTGTTTGAGGTCGCTTTGTCAGATTATTCTCTCACACTAGGCTAGATAGTTTTCTAAGAGCTCGTGTACATGCGTCTTAAAGACGTATTAAAGTTGAGGGAAAATATTGAAACGGGACAAATTGTACGCTCACCCAATGTATGTCTTCCAACATACGTCCAACGTACGTGTAGCATATGTCTAGCATATGTCCAAAATACATCCAAAATGCATGCAACATGTATTAAGTCCAATCCAACCTCCTTTCAAAAATACCTCCAACAATTATTCACTCTTGACATTAACAACTTAACATACAAAAGACAGATGGCATAAATAGAACTTGACATTCAGGCCTCATGACATGACATGACAACAAGATCTGGATGTCAGGTAGATGAGACTTACTGGTGGCCGCTACAAGACTAGGCAGGTATTCGTCCCAGAATGCACAGTCCTGCGCCCTTGGCCCCTGGCCAATGATGAACTTCTGGGCCATGGAGTCGACGCTTAGGTTGATGAACATCTGTTCATTGTGGAGGAACTGTGGCCACTCCACCACTCTGGTGCCGTTAGGCGATAGGTTTGGGTTCCTGAGAGAGAAAAGTGATCAGACTTTTTCAAATTATTTTTACATTTTTATAACCAACACATAAATAGTTATTTATAAATAGTTAAATAACTAAACAATACACATAAGGACCTACCATGACTGACAACGTGACCTACCAAGACTGCCATAAATGACCTACCAAAACTGTCAAAAAATGACCTACCAAAACTGCCAAGAATGACCTACGAAGACTGCCAAGAATGACCTACCAAAACTGCCAAAAATGACCTACCCTGTTTTGGCGAAGTTGGTCCAGTAGGACATCATCTTCCGGCTGAGTTGCCTCTCCTCGTGTGTGAAGGAGTGCGACTCGTTGAGGGCGATGCCGAAGGTGAACCAAATCTCGTCGGCGTGTAGGACCCCCATCCACTCAGGCCAGGGGTTGGCTGACCACCTCTGGTTGAACCAGTAGTAGTAGACCGGGATGTTGCGGCGAGCGAACATCTTCGCCAGCCGGTTCACCCCGCACACGAAGTAATAGTCGCTGGCTGCGCGGTCGATGGACTTCCTTAACGAGATGGGATCATCCGGGTTCAACCAGTTTCTATAGTGAAACATGATCGCTTCCTTGCCGACTATGTTTAACATATTTCGTGCAGTATAATAGGGAAACCAATCAAAAAGCTCATGCATTGCGAGTTTATAATTATCCGCTGAGATAGGGTTTTGTGTGTTCGTGTTATTGAACTTAAAATATTGCGCTAATGCATAAATCAAAAAGAATGTTGCCTCGTTTTCGTTACTGCCAAGCAGTATTGGTATCTTTTTAAAGGATCCTCGTTCAAGTATGATATCTGGATCGTGTAAAATCAAAACACCGTCGACTATAGGCACAAAACCAAACTGCACAAAACCCTGAGTTATAAAGAAATCTTGAGAAATAGCAAATGAAGCGTTTTTCCCTCGCAAGCACGCCAGCATATATTCAGGGTCATTCTGCCTGCCACAACTGAGTGACGTGGCTAGATTGACCGATCTTTCAATCATGTCGTCCCTAGACAGGGTACCCCATTTGAGCTGAGGCGCCCCACTCTGCAGGATGGCTCTCTGGAAGAAGTTGTTACACAGCTGGCACAGCATCAACAACCCCACGCTCACCGCCCCCGCGCTTTCGCCCATGATGGTGACGTTGTGGGGGTTGCCCCCGAAGTTGTGGATGTTTCTGGAAACCCACTCCAAGGCCATTCGTTGGTCCCAGAGACCAGCATTCCCAGGGGCGTCGGCTGTATCCAGGACCAGAAACCCGAGGGAGCCGACCCTGTACTGCATTGAGACAACGATGATGTCGTTCTCTGCTGCCAGGTACTGGGCGTTGTAGATATCCAGAGTGGAGCTGCCGCTGTAAAACCCCCCGCCGTAGATCCAGACCAGAACGGCCTTGTCTTTATAGGGGGGGTTGGTGCGGGGGACCCAGACATTCAGGTAAAGGCAGTCCTCGCTGACAGGGGTGTTGGCGTTCCACATGGTCGAGCCCGTAAAGTTCCCGAGAAACGTGTCCATCGGCTGGACGCAGGAGTTTGGCCAGTTGGTACCGTCCAGCACGCCCTCCCAGGGCTCGTTGGGGACGGTGGGTTTATACCTGAGTTCACCAACAGGCGGCGCTGCGTAGGGAATGCTGTAGAAGACGTCGACCTTCTTCCAGTTGACGGTGGCCGTGAAGCCCCGAACCTTGCCCTTCTCCGTCTGGACGATGGGCGATTCTTGACCCCGGGCCTGTGCCAGGAAGAAGAGCAGAAGGTGCCATGAGATGCTCCAGACGACAGCCATCGCTCAGGTACCGCTCACGAGCTGAGACTTGGAGATCTGTCTAGCATAACCACGGGATGGGAGGCGCGCTGAAATTGGAAAAAAATGGAATCGTCAGACACAGTTGTTTTTGTCCACCCAGAGTGTCATTATGTCAGTTTATTTGTCAGCTCGTATTTCAGTGTATATGCCCTTATATCAGCCCGTATGTCAGTGTATATGTGATTGGACTGGTTGCTACATATGTTCGTGTGTAAACAGTTCCTTATCCATCTTTACTTCAGTGTGTAGGGTTGGCATCGTTGAGTCTGTTTTTACAATCTTTTATAAAGAGATTTATAGATTGTATAAAATCTATTTTAAAACATCATCTATATTTACTTTAAATAAAACCCTAACCAATTTGATCGAGTGAGCATTAATGTTTATTTATAGACAAAAAATAGCAAATGTATAGAAAAAAACACATTTAGTAATATTGGTAAAATTGCTTTGTACTTTCTAGAAAAAGTAGTTCCATCAGAAGGGCCAGAACCACGAGTGCTACTTTTAGGTTTTATCATTGATCTTCTTTATTGGATTGGGTTTTGAAAACAAACTCCCACGCAGGCGGCTGTTCTGTCTACGCCCAGGGCTCTCTATCACCCCCACCCCTCAGTCCTCGAGAACTCCCCCACCCCCACCTCCCCTGTTCTCCGGTTGCCGAAAAAAGGCCAGAGAGACCGAGTACGATGGTGGACTGAGATAGCTCAACACGGAGGAAGCGAAGTGTGGATTCGAGGGTACTGCAGTGGTCGTTGTGTGCCTGTTTATGGCCTCAAGTACGGTACGGGCTTTAGCTAGCTTGTGGGTTTGGGCTTTTATTAAACCGTACTCACTGCGTTGAAGGCGCTTCAGAATTAGAGTTCACTTATTCGAAAATGCATACCGTATTTTTAGTTCCCATTTAGATTGCCTATACTTTGTTTTAGGATAGAACAGGAAGTTGAATTATATTCATTGTTGCCTAGTTTTTTTAAGTTATGTTATGTGGGTCATTTAGTGACGGGTTGGTGGTTGTGTGTTGGGTTGGTGGTTGTGTGTTGGGTTGGTGGTTGTGTGTTAGGTTGGTGGTTTAGTGACGGGTTGGTGGTTGTGTGTTAGGTTGGTGGTTGTGTGTTAGGTTGGTGGTTGTGTGTTAGGTTGGTGGTTGTGTGTTAGGTTGGTGGTTGTGTGTTAGGTTGGTGGTTGTGTGTTAGGTTGGTGGTTGTGTGTTAGTTACATTGTACAAGTATTGGTGGTGATGATGTGCCACGTGCTGAAGGTGATGATGTAGTACAATATGGTATTTAACCATATCTGTCTTAATAATGTTTAGGGAAACTGCCATTGTGATTTGTATGATACTGTCTTAATTGTGGGAGCGATGATGTATCCATACGATAAATGTGATACTGTCTTAACAATATATATTATTCTGTATATGGTGTAGCAAAAAAACTATATATATATATATAGGCTATATATATATAGGCTATATATATATATATATAGGCTATATATATATAGGCTATATATATAGGCTATATATATATATATATATATAGGCTATATATATAGGCTATATATATAGGCTATATATATAGGCTATATATATAGGCTATATATATATATATAGGCTATATATATATATAGGCTATATATATATATATATATATATATATATATATATATATATATATATATATATATATATATATATATATATATATATATATAGGCTATATATATAGGCTATATATATATATAGGATATATATATATATAGGCTATATATATATATGTATATATATATATATATATATATATATATATATATATATATATATATATATATATATATATATATATATATATATTCAAGTCTATGAACACTCATGATCCCAATGACTTGCCAGAAGAAGAGATGTGACTTTTTGTAAAAAAAAAAAAAAACTAGCCAGTATCCCGTGTATGACGTCACTTCCTCTTGCTATGCTCATGTAATTTTAAATTTACACTCAAACGACGTGCAGTATTAAACTGTTCTATTTATAGATTATACGTTTTCGTTACGCTGCCGCAGTGTGACGTCAGAGCTGTTTGATTTAGGCTCAGAAACGTCTAAAAAATGGTTGTTGTTTGAAAAAAAAAATATAAGAAGCGATTTTTTTTCGGGAGTTTTTTTTTTCTTCTTGTGATGATAAAAAAAAACTACACACAGTAGCGTGTGTATGAGGAAAACTGACAGTTCAGTTGTGTCGCCTGAGTAAGTACTGTAGTGAAAAACGAGAGAAAATATCGTGTTTTAATTAGGCCGATAAACAAACTGACAAGCAAAAACCACGTAGAAAGGGTCCCTAGTGAAGGCTAGTCGTTACCTTAACCACGGCTGATACTGAGACGGGGGGGGGGGGAATGTTCATGGCTGTTGTTGGGGCAAGGTGGTGGTGAGCAACAAAGGTATAACAGCCAGTGGCGTAGGCAGGGGGTGCAAATCGAAAGTTTGACGGGGGGGGGTGCAAATCGAAAGTTTGAGGGGGGATGCAAATCGAAAGTTTGTCCCCGGGTAAAAATTGGAACCCCCCCCCCCCTTGAGACGATGCTGGCTACGCCACTGATAACAGCCCAACAAAGGTATAACAGACCAACAAAGGTATAACAGGCCAACAAAGGTATAACAGGCCAACAAAGGTATAACAGGCCAACAAAGGTATAACAGGCCAACAAAGGTATAACAGGCCAACAAAGGTATAACAGGCCAACAAAGGTATAACAGGCCAACAAAGGTATAACAGGCCAACAAAGGTATAACAGTCCGACAAAGGTATAACAACAAAGGTATAACAGGCCAACAAAGGTATAACACCCCAACAAAGGTATAACAGGCCAACAAAGGTATAACACCCCAACAAAGGTATAACAGTCCGACAAAGGTATAACAACAAAGGTATAACAGGCCAACAAAGGTATAACACCCCAACAAAGGTATAACAGTCCGACAAAGGTATAACAACAAAGGTATAACAGGCCAACAAAGGTATAACAGCCCAACAAAGGTATAACAGTCCGACAAAGGTATAACAACAAAGGTATAACAGGCCAACAAAGGTATAACAGCCCAACAAAGGTATAACAGCCCAACAAAGATATAACACTTTTCATATAAGCTATCAAATATTTCACAACTTGTAAGAAAGAGATCAAAGCAATAAAATCAACAAAAAAGAATTTCTATCATTCTAATGCTAATTAATATTTAATTTTTCGTAAATAATTTAAATTATCCAACTAATAATTTAACTTGAACAAGTTCATAAAATTTAGAACTTTAAAAAAAATGAAGAAAAAAAACGCGCGCGAATCGTAAATTACAGGTTATTAAGGAAAAGAGCGAAGTAAGGGGAAATAATCAATATTTTATTGCAAATCACCGCCTGTCATTAGCAGAGGAGTTAACGAACGTAGCGGGGGCGGGGCGAGGGGCTATCGACGAGGGTGGCGGTGAGGGGGTTGTTGTTACCATTCATCAGAACAGAGCACTGATTAAGCTGCTGTGTTTCTTGTCTCCCTTGTGGGCCGTTAAAATTAACCGCGGGCAGGGATTTGAAAATAAATATTTGTTTGTGTTGTGACCGAGTGGTAATTGTGAGCCCTTTGTTTAAAAAAATTGTCTTTGATTACCACTACCCCCCCCCCCCCACCCCACCCCTCCCGACACTCCAAATTTTGTCCCACTGTGTTTAAAGGGGAAAAAAACAGGATGTTTTATATGTTAAACACGAATTCGATAATCGCTTTAAGTAAACAGTCCTTTAAACTTCCGACACGTAAACCCGCTGTACACGTGTATTTCCGTGTATTCGGTATCTGGACAGGTAAACTTCCGTGTATTCGGTATCTGTACAGGTAAACTTCCGTGTATTCGGTATCTGGACAGGTAAACTCACCGGCTACGGGTATATCTACCTGTAGTCTGTAGTTGGGTGCCGGGTATCTGTGATGCGGCTGGTTGTATTTTATGGAAAGGTGGGTTTTACTAGAGGTATGGTGGGATTTATCGGTAATATAGTGGTTTTCATTTTGGTTACGTGCGATTTATACATAATATGGTGGCTTTTACTTTGATAAGTTAGATTTATATGTGATATGGTGTTATTTTTTTACTTTGGAAAGGTGGGATTTATGTGCAGTATGTGTGGTTTTTACTAAATGTTATCTAGATCTGCTTTTCATACATAGGTTAGTTAATTAATTGGAATTTGAAAACACGTACATTGTGGGGGAGATATATATCTCCCCGTGACCCACAGTATATACTCCAACGATTTGGTGAGCATGTCGACCTCTCTGTTGGAGTCTAGCGATTGTTGTATCGATAATTCGTCAACGGAAAAATTGTTTTGTTGACGATTTGCACGGACGCCCAACACACATTTAAATCGTGCCCTCGTATTATCAAAGGCGTAGCGACCCTTCCCGGCACCCGGGGACAAACTTTCGATTTCCACCCCCTCTCCTCAAACTTTTGATTTGCACCCCCCCCCCTCAAACTTTCAATTTGTTTTTCCATTCCATTTTGGCGCCCCCCTACAAACAGCGCCCTAGGCGACCGCCTAGTTCGCCTTATAGGTAGCGCCGGTCCTGCTAACAACAGTTTCATAACAAAATAAATCCAACAAAAAAACTTAAATCACTACTAACAAAAATTCCATAACAAAATAAATCCAACAAAAAAATTTAAATCACTACTAACAAAAATTCCGTAACAAAATAAATCCAACAAAAAAATGTAAATCACTACTAACAAAAATTCCGTAACAAAATAAATCCAACAAAAAAATATCCCCGCACAAAGAAGTAAAACACAAATATGTTACCCACACATAATTTTATTTACCCACACAAAATAAAAAGTTCCCTACCCAAGAAAATGGAAAACAGTTTCTTAAAATACCGCCTGCGTTATAAAAACATCAAGTTTATCAAATATCAAACCTTCAGTTGTATCAACTTTAAAAACGAAACAGATGTATAGGCTAAGGAGGTTGCTCACACTAATCCTGGCTCCA